TTTATTGTGGTATGGTTCCTGTACAGTAAACTACACATATTTCAGATGAACAATTTGATGAATTTTGATAGATGTACACACCCATGAAACCGCCACCATAATCAAGATAGCTAACATGTCCATCACTCCCCAAGAAGCACAATTTTCAGATTCCCAATTTATCCCTTCCCACCTCCTTTACCACCTGGTAACCGTAAGTTTGTTCTCTATGTCTGTGAGTCTGTTTCTGTTTTGTAGATAAGTTCGTTTGTGTCCTTTTTTTTTAGATTCCACATATAAGTGATATCATATGGCATTTATCTTTCTCTTTCTGGCTTACTTCACTTAGAATGATGATCTCCAGGTCCATCCATGTTACTGAAAATGGCATTATTTTATTCTTTTTCATGGCTGAGTAGTATTATATAGAAAAGATCTTAGGACTTAAGTCAGGAGACATGGATCCAAGACCTTGCTCAGTTGCTTACTAGCTATTTGGTGTTGGACCAATCTTCGGAACACTTGGACCCTCAGTTGCCTCTAATGCCTAGGATTTTGTACAGCAAAAGTTTTCTAAGTTTGTTGATTTCAACCCTTGCCCTCTATCCTATTTTGTTTAAGCTGTTAACTTCCCTTTATGAATATTGTTTTTGACTTCTGGATCTTTATCATTACAGATATTAATTATAGACATAGACTTTTGATCTGCGTATTTCTTCGTTCTCCAGGCTCATGTATCCAGCTGACTATTGGGAATCTGTAGGATGCTAGACACCTCAAACATGTCTAAAATAAAACCCTTGATTCCTGCACCTCAACACCTCCAACTCCTCCAACCCCCAGCCTTCCCAGCTCAGTAATGATGTCACTATCTAGCTAATTGCTCAGAACAAAAATCTAGGTGTCATCATTGCTTTCTCTGTTTTCTTCATCCCCCTGTGTTCAATCATACCAGCAGGTTCTGTGACTCTACCTCTGAAAACTATCCCCAGTTCAGCAGTTCTCATGCTCTCCACTGCTAACCTGGTCTAAGCCACTGTCATGTCTTGCCTGGACTAATGAAGTGACCTCAAGCTCACCCTATCTTCCTGCTTCTATTCTTGGCCCTAACAGTAAATTCTTCATGCAGTAGCTAGAATTATTTTTTAAAAGTAAAAAATCATGCAATGTTGAACTTTTCCCTAAAATCACTTCAATACATACTCCTTAACATGGCTTACAAGATTTTTCATGCCTAGTGCTCCAACCTCTTTCTTCTGGTCACTGTAATCCAGTCTTACGGGCCTTTTCTGTGTTCCTTGAATAAACTAAACTCATCCCTACCTCAGAGCCTTTGCAGGTGTGGTTGTTGTCTTCCTGAAATAACTTCTTCACGTGATTGCCTCTTTTTCAACACTTGGACCTCAGCTCAAGTTTTACTTCCACAGGAAGACTTGTCCTGAACACAGTCATAAAGTAACCTTCAATCCCCTATCCCTTTACCACATTTTATTTTCCTCCTAGAATCCATCACCATCAAAATACGTATCTACTTTCGCTTTTTGTCTCACAGCGTAAGAGTGTAAGCTTCATGAGAACAGGGTTCTTGCCATTCTAGTCACAGCACTGAGAACATTTCTGGAGTATAGACTAAGTGAATGTTTCTTGAAGGATTTTAGATGCCCTTTCATCTGCTAATGACACAGAGAGTTAGTTTACAGTACTGACTGAAATAACCCATATACACACAGAAAATTAAAGCAGCTAAAACAAAAATGACACGTGGTAAACTTAAATAGCTGATAAACAAACTGAAAAAATTACATATTATTTGTGACATTGAAAAGCAAAATTTGGCCTGAGCCAAGTCAGTTTTGTTAAACATGAGGTTACATTAACAACTAAAATCAAACTCAGGAAAATGGTAATATTGAAAATTATAACTGGGAGAAGGAAACGTATAATGGCTAAATTTGAAATGGATAAAAATCAAATATTTGTTGTAAAAGTTGCAGAGACAAGAATCCATCCAGTGGAAAACCTTCAGAAAATAAATTTATCTAAATGGAAAAAATAAAAAATTCTTTAACTGTTTCTTTCAGATGGAAAAGTATTCAATGAATTCAATTGTCTCAGTGTAATTCATGTCAGAAAACACAATCTTCATGAAAATTCACTAATGCTTGTGTAGTTTTGATATAGAAATAAGGAAATAAGTAATAATGTCCTCTTGCACCTGCCTTTTTTTTTTTAACCTTTCTCCTGGACTATCTGTAGACGTTAGACGACTGGTTAGACACCTCAAAAAACATGTTTAAAATAGAACCTTGCAATTCAGATGACTTTGTGGAGAATTTCTCTCTCCTCACGTCTTAGGCCTTTCACGTTTGTTGGTTTCAATCTCAGTCAGGTTCTCACTGTGTGTGTGTGGCACAAATGACCATAAATACCTCCAGGCTTGGATTGTATCAGTTTCACACCACACTGGCCAAGTGCCCATACCTGAACGAGTCTCTGTGACCAGAGGAATGGATTCCTCTGATTGGTTAGGCCTGAGTCATGTGATTATGTCAGCTTCACTTAAACTATTTGGATTAAATGGAAGAGTGTGGTTCTCCAAAAGAAAGTCAAGGTACTCTTCTCTTGGAAGAGAAAATTCAAATGGAGGAAAGGATGCTGGGTTGGAAAGAACAACAGCTGCCAACTAGGCTCTTTCTAACCTCATCTCATTTGTTGAAATCCTATTATCCCTTCAAGGACTGTCTCAAGAGTCTCCTTTTGAAGTCATTCCTGATCCTCTGACCATGTGTAGTTGCTCCCGCTTTTGTGTTTCTTCAGCATTTTGCACCTCTTTTTGCTGTTTAGTTTTGTGGGCTTTGTACAATCATTACAAGTTTGTCTTTTGTATTATTGCAGCACAGCTTCTCTGAGGGCAGGAGACTTCATCTCAATCGTCTTTAAATCTTCAACAATGCCTGACAGGTGTCTGATTCATAGTAGACTACCAGCAAATATTTTCTAAACTGACTTAACATTGTACAAATTATGAATAATGAAAAATAAACAAGATGCCACAGCTAATTTTATTATGTACATAATTTATTTACTGATTAATTTATTAAAAGACTAACAGAAGCGATGTTAACAATTCTGAGAAGTGATTTCTATTTAAGAAGTAAGAATAACCACAGCACCAGGAGAGCAGTCAACTTTCGTGGGGACCGGCTGGGGAGGGGCTGTGTCTGGACCTACCCTGCACTCACTAACTTTGCCTTCTTTTCCTCTTCAGTTATCTGGTTTCACGTCTAAGCTTGTTCCAGCTATCCAGAATGCGCACAAGGATTCCACTGGATCTGGAAGAGGAAAGGGATTGATGGTGATAACTGAACCCATTTTGATTGAGACCTACACGGGACTGATGTCATTCATTGGAAACCGCAACAAGCTTGGCTATTCCCTTGCCCGTGGGAGTATTGGTTTTTGACACTTTTTTTGGTGGATAAGTACATCACCCACAGACATGCCATTATTGAAGATTCTGTTTCAGTCCATCATATTTTTGGACCGAAACAATTAATTACTTTTAAATAGTATTACATGATATTGAATATTTAGAACCTTAGGAAATCTAAAAGCTTGATTAGACTGATAGATGCATGCTTCAGATCTCATTAAGAATAATGAAATTTCCTAAAACCAGAAAATAAGTTCTAAGCCCATCAAATAATATCAAATTAATATCTGATCATAAACTTAGGGCAGACCCTCTGGGTTTTTGTTCCTCTGTCTTCTAAATGTAGGCATATTCTGGGTTTTGATCTTCAGCCCTCTGATTCCAATCTTCTCTCTCATTAGGGTCTCAATCTGTATTATTTTAGCTATCTTTTTTATGAAGGTGACTTCCAAATCCATATTCCCATCCCCACTATTTCTTCAAGATTCAGTTTTGCATTTGTCTGTTGATCATATATCTATATCAGTGTTCTGATGACCAGTTACATTCAATATCTTTAAAATCCTAGTTCTCTCTGTAGTGTTTTTATGGTCCGTCATCATCTCTAAAATCCATCAGTTTTGATGTCTTTAAATTCCTTGCCAAATGCGTTTGATACAGTAGCTGTTTAGTCTCTTTGGGTTGCTATAACAAAATGCCATAGACGCGATGGCCTTCATAACCAAATTACCCAAAGGCCCCCCAACTCTTAATACCATCATATTGGGTTTTAGGATTTCAACATGTAAGTTTTGAGGGGACACAAACATTCAGACCATAGAAGTACCACTGTCTGTGACTTAGCATTGTACCCAATGCCCAGATGTCAAACTTAAAAGTTCATTTTTCTTTCAAAATTGTTCACATATTTCTTCTCCTTTCCATTCTCACAGGTATACTATTAGATCATGTTTCAAATTCTATTTACTTGGATAATTGCTGTAGATTTTTAATTGGCATCTTTGCTCTAAAGCTGACCCTTTTATAATCCATTTTGCACTTGGTTGCCAGATTCCTAAAGCACAATTTGATTGTCTCATTCCCTTCTCAAGAACCTTTGATGGCTCATTGCCTGCTACAGATTTTTTTTTAATCTCACACATTTTGCTTTGTCAATAGCAGATTTTCCTTCTAATAAAATGTTTCGTATGCCCGATATGAAAAACAGAAATAGGGCCACTATGATTGAAACAGAGTTGGAAATGCCATTGACTTCCTCTTTTTTGGGGTCTCAGAAGTGTCCCCTGTGGGATGTCTCTGGATCCAGAAGGTTTTAAGGAGATGTTTCCAAAAACACTGTCCTAACTCACTGTTTCCATTTTCCTCTCTCTCGCATTTCCTCTTTGTCTCTCCTTGACTTTGTCTAATATTGAACAACTCAGGAGATTACTTCACCTGTTTTCATCTCTTCAAGTTTTTCTTTTTCAATTTCATCTATTTTTAATTTATTTTGAAAAGAAGCTTTTAATGTTGAACACCATAAACATGATTATAATCAAGGTTTTGCCTGTCCCTAGACCCAAAGTTGAGACACCTTGGCTGGAATTCAAGTTAAAACATTCCAGCTGATTTTTTTTTTTTCTTGCTGGGGGGAGCTTATGTGAAGTCTATTTTTAAAGTCTTTTCTTCAAAATGCTTACTTCCTCAGTTTCAAAGATTTGTTCTCTGATATTTTACAAACATCAAGTTGATGGAGGTATTCAAATCTTTGGATAACCCTCATTTTGTTTTGCCTTTGTCTTTATTTACTTCCATTAATATTTTTCTCCCTCCCTCTCTTTCCACTTCCCAGCATCTAATTCTCCTCCTTCCCCCCAATGGCAAATATTGTTACAGTCCCCAAGGCAGGGAACTTCTATTCAGACTGTAAAAGGAAATGTTGAAATCTTTAGCTGTCCTGTCAACAGTAGTGGAATGAAAAGTCATTGGGTTATTTTGGCAGTGGTTCTGAAGCAGGTACAATTGGCAAATTATTGTAACACTGCTGCCCGAAAATCCCCATTTGCCTCAAGATAGTGGCATTTGTTGGCAGCAGCCTCTGAAATGTCCAGCACATTCTCTCTCTCGTTACCATTTAAGGATCAGTCTGACAATTGGCTTCTTTCTGCATATATTTTCCCTCTGTAAGCTAGTGGACTATTCCCAACGGACCTTCGAAAGGATACAGGGCAACATCATCAGTGGAAGCAAATCAGAAAAGATGAGAGGAGGGAGATGTCTCCTAGCCCTGATGGTCAGGGTACCACAGCTGTTAAGTGCGGAGAAGAGTGATCCCAGAGATGACATGAGAACCATCTTCACATTTCACACAGACCATCCTGTGGGATATTCCAGAAGCTGATAAATGGGATCTAGAAAGCTGGACTATGACCAGAGAATAAGAGGATTCAGGAATTTGGATTGCAGTTTAAGATAAGAAAGAAAGAGGTCCTTAGAGTTAGAAATGTCCAAAGATGGAGTGGGTTGCTCCTTGAAATAGGGAGTCCTCCATCACTTGATGTGCACAAGTAGGGACTAGATATAGTGGGTATTGTGAAAGGGATTGCTGAGGAGATGATAGATAAGATCCTTTAAAGCCAGAGACCGCATGATTCTCCAAATAATTGTTGCTAATGACTAGATAATAGACACTTTTTTCTTTGGAAAAAGTTGAATCAGTCATGTGAGACCCTGGAAAATTACCTTAATTTTCTAAGTTTTAATTTCTTCATCTGTAAAATAGAGACACTATCTCTTCTGCCTACTTCATGAAGATCCTGTGAGGACTCAAGGAAATGAGGTTAAATTATTTTATGAAATAAAAATCACTGAATATCTGCCTTCAGGGTGATGTCATTTTGGCAGCAGAAACTGGAACGACATCCAAGGGAACTAAATTCAGTTCTTCTGGGAATTGTTTCTTGATCACTATGGGCTACTGACCATCCTTTCCCCATTTGGCACGCGGTGTTTTCACGAGGGCTCCTTGTCCGTGAGGTCAACAGGCAGCCACAAAGCACAAACCTGGAGACTCACAGGTATGCCTGGGCTTCTCCTTCAGGCTGTCGTCTGAACTGTACCAAGAAAGCTTCCCAGAGAGGCATCATGAGTCTGATTGGGAATAAGATTAGATACGACACAGAGGCCTTAAACACAGAGCATGTCATCATAAAAATGTCGTGGTTGGCCATCTTCTCTATCTGATATTCGTCCATTCAGGAAATCTTACCAGAAAATCCCCAAAAAGTCTCCTTTCAGAAACTGTTTGAACAACTCTGTTGACAGATTGCTCACAGTCTTCTGATCCATTTTGGGCAGTTCTGACGGTTAGAGAGTTCTCTTTCTGGTGATTGAGATTCTGTAGTGTCCAGCTTCAATCTCTTTCATTTAAAAATAAAATTCCTCTGCTAGAATAGGTTCAGCCTGGGTTTCCATACCTAGATGTGGGACATCTGGGTTACAGAAGCTAGGCTGGTGGATTCTCTAACATTTACAGAAAGAGGAGCAGTCAAGAATCACCATGCCTGACCCCCGAGTGTGCCACTGGACTTCTTTAGGAGCCTGCCCTTTGGCCATCTTCTAAGGCAGGAAAGAGAAGCCAGAGTCCCAGTCTCATCGTCCCTTTGCTGAGGCATGACTCAGGAAGCTGACGCTTGGAGCCCTGGGGCCAAGAAAGCACAGAAGCCATCTAATCCAACACTTTCATTCACAGAACAGGAAGTCAGGGCCTAGGAACTGGAGAGAAATCGCTCAAAAAGCAGGTGGTGAATTGTTGGCACTACTAGGATTAAACTCTCAATGCTTCCAATCTCCTATTCCTGACCCATACTCTTTCCATGTGTCTCCAATCCCAGGAAAAGACACTTCATCTCAATCAGGGTGTCATAATTTCTGGGTTAATTCTGAGGCGAGAAAACAATAGGTCACCGTTGTTTAGAGGGAATTTCCAGAAATTGCCTGTATTTTCTTAAAGGCTAAGGTCACTCATAGAGCTCTCTGATTTCCTATCTGATCAAAAAGCCCAAACAAAGCTGCGGAAGCCAGCAGAGCCAGCGAAGATTTTGTAAGGCACTTTGACCCCTGCCTGGCATTTTGTGGGGCAGGGGAGGGGAGGGCAAAGGTATTAAATTAAGGCTTAAAAGCTCCTCAGAAATTCTTTACACACAAGAGACCCAAGCTGGAGAAAAGAAGATGACTCGTGCCAAAGGGAAGAAAGAGAGAGACTAATGCCTGTGGTTTTCAAAGGTTAACAACAAAAAAACCCCCAAGTATTTGCACAGGGATGAATGCTCATTGGCTCTTGGCCAACAATTATACAAGGGCTGGTGCCCACATCCTGTAGCTGTGGTTTAGGGACGCTGCTCATGAGTGACTTCTTATGCTTAGTGGCAGGAAACTTTAGTCACTGGTGTGTAAACTCACCTTTGGTCTGCACCTCCCACAACGTGCTCCGCAGGCACTGAGGGACCAGGCCTCCTGATTTCCTAGCAGATAGCAGGTCCTCAGAGGCCCAGGAAGAACCCAGTGTGAGGCCCTGGGAGGGACTGAGACTTGCCTTATTCCACTCGATGGTAGCAATGCCTCAGGACAATTTTGGAGCCACAAGGAGGAATTATGATATCCTCTGCTGAATCCTCTCACTGGCCTCAAAAATCTAAGTCCTTTCAGGGCTACAGTGTGAAATACGAGAGGCAAAGTCACGAGGCTGCTCCTGAGCCTAGATCTTGTATCTGAGGAATTATTTTACACTCAGTTTTAAAAGGTTCCTAGTAAACAGCTCACAAGTCTCCTTTTCAGTGAAGCCAAATGGAATTTGCCAGAAATTAGTCAAAAAGCAGGTGGTGGATATTGGGCGATACTGGGAGAAAATGCTAAAGCTTCCATCTTTCCGTTCCTGGCCATTGCCCTTTCCGTACACCCCTATTCCCCGGGAAAGGCATTTCATCTAAATCATGTGTCATAAGCTAATTTGAGGTGAGAAGACAGTAGGTCCAGTTTAATTCACTCTTGTGTTTTCAGGTAGAAATGAGATAATGAGATGCTCCATATTGAGATAAATTTCTCAGAACTGCCACCTTGTCTCTCACATCCTGTCCACAGTGCCTACCCCATGCATCTCAGGAATCACCTTCCCTTCCTGTTATATTCCTGCTCACTCTTCTTGGAATTATTGAAACTGAGATTGGAGGGGACCTTAAAGGTCATGTAGTTTAGCTTCCTACCTACTGCAGGAATGCCCTCAACCAAAACACACACAGCAGATGCAGACTCAGTTTCTGTAAAAATACATTGTCAGGGCAGAGAATCCCTTGCTTGCTACAACAGTTCTTTCTACTGCTAAGCAATGACAGTGAGTAGAAGGTTTTTCTAGATATTATATCCAAATCTTCCTCCCTGAAAATATATCTGTTTGGTCCTTGATCTTCCTTTGAAGTTACTCCAAGTAAATCAGTTCCCTATTTCATGTGGCCGCACTTCAAATAAAGGCAGACTGACTGGTGCTCGTCCAACAAAGCAGTTTTATTTTTGTTTGTTTATTTTTTGTGTTCTTTTTGACAGAAAAATCCTAGTTACCACAACCATTCTTCATATGATGGATTATCCAGAGCCCTTACTTAACTTATCTCTTGTTTGTGGACTATTCTGTTTGGTTAGCATTTAAAATATTATATTCAACTCTGGCATGGCAGTTCAAATATAATCTGACCAGTGCAGGTTAGAACGTAGTTGCTTTTTATTTGCCAATAAATTGTTATTAATGAAATCTAGGTTTTCTTTATCATACCATTTTTTTTCCCACATGAAGCTTATGAGCAAATTCATTCATGCTATCTATAATATATAACATCTTCTTTTCTGATTTAGTAATCTCACTTAAGGAACAAAGGAGGCCACTTTCGTATGGATTATTTGTAATGAACTTATATTAGCTCATAGTAATCACTCCTTTTCTTTGTTGAATTTTAAATTTACTTGTTAAGTTTTCCCTAAAGTATCTGTTTAATATTTTATCCCAAGTCAGTGTCAAACTTATTTTTCTGTAGTATTTGGCAACCAACATTCCTTTTAAGTGGGATTTTTTCCATCTTCAATCTAGAGGACAAAGTGGGAATGGTTACCATGATTGACAGCTGAGCCAAAGCAGTAATCAGAATGATTTCATCCACAGAGATCTTTGGTCTTGGTTGGCTGAGCATTTTGTCCCCAGAGCAAAAATGGATGGGCAGTCCGCTCAAGTCTTATTCAGTGTGTATAAGCTAAAGTAAACCGAAGTCTGATTTGAATCAGCGTCTACCACCCCATGATACCCTTATCCTTACTGCATTCAGATTGCCCAATTCAATGGCAACAGTTATCACTGTCATTTTTGGCCTACAGGGAATAGCCACAATGAAACTGTTTAAGAATGTTGAGTTTCCCCTCACAAACATACTTCTCATGGTCTCAGTGAAGAAGTGTCTCTGGAACTTCTGAGGGGGTATTGTTAGGGGGTAACTGAGGAGTTCTTATATAATAAATCTGCTTGAGCATCACAATCTCCCTAACCTTTGTCTGCCTTCTTCTAGCATTTCAGCTTCATTCAGTATATACTTCCTTTGGGTCCATGTTTCAGTCAATTAACCAAGCAAACTCTTGGAGCCATTTTTAGTGACTCAAACACACTGAATTCAAAATCTATTCTGGTGCACTCTAAACAATAATTTTTGTTTGCTCCAACATTATATTGCTTCCAACTTGATCTA